CTTTGTTCTTTGAAAATCAACACCTAACGACCCAATTTGACTAAGTAAGAGGCGTAATTATGGCATATATGTCATCAAACAGCTGCAGGTTTGGTTTGGTTTGTTTTGTTTTGTTTTACGGCATATCAACCTCAACGGGTCATGTAATGCCGACAACTTTTTTTTTCTGGTAATATTTTCGTTTTGTCAAAAATCTATTTCTGTTAACATTTTTTCCCCCAAAAATGTATAGCTGGTAATATTTTTTCAAAAACATATTGCTGGTAATATTTTTTTTTCTTCAAAAATTTATTTCTGGCAATAATTTTTTACAAAGTATTTCTGGTATTAAAACCTATTTTTACACTTTTATAATGCTTTTTACTTCAGTTTCGGGATTAACTATTTGCCAATAGCAGGGACCCTAACAGGTACTACCACCCCACAGCTCCAGGAATTTAGTTACCACTGGAATAGAAAATTATATACCGGCTATGTAGATTTATAGTAGCATAGTTCCATAACAAAAGAAACTTATCTTCTCGTCCATTAGAAACCTCCTTCTAAGCCCCGAATCCACTAAATGTCTGGATCTGATAAAAGAACCAAATCTATGAAGTCGTACATGTCAGGTGAGAACTTCGATAGCGAAAGATTCCAAACCTCATCTTTGTTAACCATGTTTGTCGTAGTCTCTGAATATAGAATCCAGTGGTCCGTAATGTGTTCAATATCAGAGGTTGGCAGTGAAGATTCGGAGAAAGTAGCAGCTGTTAAGTAATTCTTTAAGTTTTCGATATCAGAGGTTGGCAGTGAAGATATTTTGGGAGAAAATACAAAATGGCTGCCTTTATACACGTCGGATAGAATATTTTGAGCTTTCTGATTGGTTAACCCTTCTCTTGGTGGACTATAAAATGAGTCAGCTCATTTTGGCTAGCCCACTAGTACACAAAGTACCCAAAAATTCTAATAATCTTGTGGACAAGGAGGAAATGAAAGCTGAAATTTAAACTAGGCTCTGCGCATTCACAAGAACAGATACTAAGAGATGGGTATTGTTCATTTAAACATTTTATACGGTACCGAAAAATGAATCTACGAACAAAACCGTCGTTTATGCTTCCTATCCCGAGACTAATATACAAAGGATGAAGGGAGCTATGTTACTTGACATAGGCATTCATAACTGGGACAAATATGATCTGGAACAAAATATACAGCATCTTTAAACCTCGTATTTCAAGAAGTAGAACTCTGTATGAAGCTTTTTAAAACAGAAACTTTATCTGGAACCAGAATGAAACCGTGACCCTGAATCTATAAAAAATAAATCTATCTAAAATGAAAACATCGGGATGTGGAAATAATAAATACTAAACACCTCAACTACTTCGGTGTATGAATCAAATAACAAATAAGTATAGGAGATAAAGATAAAACAGATTGTGTTTCGTCTCTATTTAATAGTTTTGTCTATTACCGTAAGCTGAGAAAAACCAAAACATTAACGTTATGTTCTGAGTTTTATCTGATTAAAACTTACGTAGGGAAGCCATGCATCGCCCCAGACACGTTCAGAAATAGCTAAACTGTCGGCTGTATACACCTGCATTCTCAGATCGATGGTTATAAATGGTTTCGAAATTCGTGGATTGGCGCTACAGAATCACAAAGAAAAAACTGTACCAGATAATACCAGATAACCCAAATCATATCAAATGAAGATTTTCAACAGTAACAACAGCTAAAATGGGTAGCACATGTAACTCTAAGAAATAATAATGATATAATCAAGATACTGACTTTCCACAGTACCTCAAACAAAAGGCAAGAACTAAAATCCCCCATCAATACTGGTAAGAGCAAGAACAGCTACTGGACTTGAGAAATCTATTTCCCTAAAAAAAATGTTTTAATAGAAAGATTTTATAAATTTCAATCGGCAACAGTTCGGTCAGTGAAAGCCGAATTTTTCTTATAAGGAAACGGCTAATATTAAAATTGCCATTAGCATTCAGTTAGCATTCATTAGCATTGCAATTATCATTCAATTAATATTCATTAGCATTGTCATTAGCATTCAATTAACATTCATTAGATTTGCCATTAAAATTCATTAGCATTGCCATTAGCATTCAATTAGTATTCATTAGCATTGCCATTTGTTGGTGATATGGACGAAGAATATTGCATTCATATTCACACAGATGCCATCTGCGAAAAACAAATTCATCTCTTCCCGTCCATGGGTTAAATAGCTAGCTAGATCAGGCTCTCTGGTTAGTAGAGGAAAATAAACACTGAATTTAAAACAGTGGCGAAGGCAACGGGAAATCACTCCACCATAATAAACAAACAAACAAAAAAAAAACAGATTGGAGATTCATGACTGTCTAAGTTCTGAAGGGACATGGCATTTAAAAATATATCAAAATTCCTAATGGAATCATGAAACCGCAAATATTACTCGCCCCTATATATATATACCCGGATTGGACAGCATTTACCTATTCATATAAGACAGGGTGGCGTTAGCGATAGTATACGATGAATCAATCAGCAATTGGACTACATTTGGTGAACAACGCGGGTTGCACTTTGAAATATTCTGACAAAGCATTTAGCGTACTGCACAAAGCTCGGTCGACTAAACATTTACATTTTTTTCAGAAGCTGTTCATCTCAAGCTTCATCAACCAACTTTGTGCAGGCAGAAGGAAACCTTTCTTCATTCTCCGTGTCTCATGTGTGCGTCGTGAGTACACTTTTTTTCTGTTTTATACTCAATAGAAGCTTATTTAAATCAATTTATTGTTTTTATTTTAGTCTTTCTTTATTTATCCACACGCAATTTTTCAGTTTCGCCATTTATGATTATTTTTTGTATGTTTTTTCGATGAATTTTTCTGAAGAAGGTTACTTTTAAAGAATACACTCCGTTATTTTTAAAACTATATATATATATATATATATATATATATATATATATATATATATATATATATATATATATATATATATATATATTTTGTAGTGATTTTTTACAACATATTTATGCTATAATTTCTAATCATCACTTGATAAGACACCGGAGGTGTTGAAACAAAATAGCTATTTTGTAGTGATTTTATAACATATTTATGTTAAAAATTTAAATAAATAATTATATATATATATATATATATATATATATATATATATATATATATATATGTGTGTGTGTGTGTGTGTGTGTGTGTGTGTGTGTGTGTGTTTGTGTGCATATATAATATCCCGTATATTTTGGAGCATATTTTCATTTAAGTATGTCTGATTAGACAATTTGTGTTCGTTTATTTTTAATAAGACCCTTTTGTAATCACGTGTAAACTTTGTTGTTTCATTATTAAAGAGATCAAGAAAGGTGCCATGGTTGTATTCATTCATTTTATTTTTCCGAGTATTTCTATATATTCACAATATCATCTTCAAGGTTATGATGGCTAAGACAAATAGTTATGTGTGTCCGAGGTAACTTTTTGCCTTTGTGGTTAGATCATTAACAATTCTGGTCATGCGCAAAGTCACAAATGGTGATTTTTGAAATTTTTCCATATTCTAAAAATCATAATGTAGGGGAGATAACTTAGTTAAGAATTGAATTCTTGTGGCAGGTTATAGTTTGCTTGTTTTTTTAACGTAGATATTTCGAAAGAAATATATGCTATAATCATTTCAGAACATTTTTACTATATTCATAATTAATTTTTTTAAGTGTTGGTTTTAATTTCTTTTTAATAAAGATGGCTACGAGAATTTGTAGTTTCTGTTTATTACGTTCTTGGTGTTGTATGCAGGTACTGTTGACTTATATACTTCTAAATTAAGTAACTATTTGTTCCCCTCACTGAGACATATAGATATACATGTACACATACGAAAACGCGCCCAAGAATCATATTCTGCTTACACTTATCCCATTCCCGTTCATGTCAATCATCCGACCGAAGGAAAAAAATCCTTTTTTTTTTTTTGCTGACCCTCACTGTATGAGTTACACACACGCACAGTAAAAATGGATTATGCTTTGCAAATGACTGAATTCTTGGAGATTTTATGTTAATTTTCTTTTTTACCCAATTTACTGTCGGATTAATATCCTCATCTTTGTTGCGGCCTCCACCCTTCTTTAGGTTATAGAGGCGCGAGGTTTAGGGGTTAAAATGAAAAGTTGGTTTACCCCCGCAAAGAAGATTAATCAAGGATAGTAATGACGAGGAAATTACACGGGTGAGCTTAACGAAACAAGGAATATATTCAAGAATTTAAACCCTTAAAGTCGTGTCAGTAGCTCGTTTCAGGAAAATAAATCAGAATTCTTAAAGTCCGTAGTTTTCACGTATTGTCAGGAAGAAGAAATGTTTATACAACAGATCAAATGATCTGATACAAAATAAGGAAAGGCAGTTCGTTGTTCACTGTAGGGATATATGGTTTGCATACGTTCAAAAGTAGAAGAAAAGAGATAGTTTGAAATACTTAGCTTTCTTGAATAGTTGACTGAAAAGGAGTAACGCGTGCTGGTTAGAGGCTGATAATATAATTGGCAAGAATTTCAACACTGGTCATGATGACAGAAACGAAACCTTTCATATAATTTCAGAAACTCTTTTCTCATTAATTTTTCTCCTCATTTTTATATCAAAGGGGAATTTCGAATACTCGCTACTTTCTTTTCTTTCTTCTTCTTGGCTGAACGGCTAATTTCTCTGAAGGCAAGAATTTTATTGGTCAAAAAAATTTCACATAAACTCGGGAATTCATTTCCTCCTTCTCCTCTTTCTTCTTCTTATCCTCCTCCTCCTCCTCCTCCTTCTTCTTCTTCTTTCATTGAATTTGAAGGGAGTGGGGTGAAGGGAGTTATTATTTGCGCTCACTACAAAGTGTCTTTCAATTGATGCTAAACGTCAAGAAATTACGAACTGAAAATTCTATTCAATCTACGTGGGTGGATAGATATTATTCCACTGTCTATGGTCTTACGGCAATATCATGTTGAAACAACCGTTCTCGCCTGAACACCGAAGTTAAGCGACGTCGAGCCTAGTGAATGGGTGACCACTTGGGAATACCAGGTGCTATAAGCTTGGATGTGTGGGTGGCATAATGGATATGAGCTCGAAATATCAAATTAGCGTTTCAGTCGAGTAGTTCGTTACGTTCACTTATGCTCATAGACGCTTAGGAAAGATATGAATTCACTTCTTCTCCACCTGGCTATGGGTTAAATAGTAAGATTTGTATCTGAAAACAATTATTATCTCCCCAAAATTGTTAATACTATAGTCGCTACCCCAACCTAAAGAAAACGAATTAGTCTTACAGTTCTGATAATATGTTTCGTCTTTAAATAACCTGCAAAGGGTTGATAATCCGTAAAAAACAAATCAACCAATCGATCAATCCACTATCTATCTCGTCTTGATCTAGGAGTTTAGGTTGGTGAATTAGTTGGCATCATAATTGTAAATTTAATCTCTGGACTGGGTAGTACGGACAATGAAATCAGGCCAAGCAATAACTGAGCAGTTCTATAAAAAAAAACATGGAGAGGAGAGCGAAAATAATCTACTCGCGTAAAGTGTTCAGTTCAAAATTCCATGAAAGTTACCCTCATAAACAGACACTTGGAGAAGGATTGAGGGTAGAATGGGCAAAAAGTTGTGCTAACAACAACAACGTTTAGGAAATTAATCTGGCTGTAAACAAAGTAATTTCCCTATGATAGGCATATTATATCCATGATATAGCAACACCTTAAAAAACAAACGGTGCAAAAGAGCTGAAAGAAAGGAATGACAAACATACATTGTTCCCAAAGAAACTTTTTATATCGAAAGTTGTTGCGAATTTTTCCCACAGAGAAAATATATAACAAATGTATACAACAAGTAGTGTGAAAATGAGTGAAAAGAGAGAGATCGTCTTACTTATCATATTACCAAACGGGAAAAACGGCAGGTCGGTGGTATCCTTTATATTTCTGGTGAGACGTAAGTTACTTTGTTCACCCTACCGCTGTGGGCTTGTGACGTCTGTATTCTTCAAGCTTACATTGCAATTGGCGCGAGAAGACTCAAGGCGTGATAAATAGTAACCAATCGTCGCGTAACCCTAGTGAGTTCGTCTCAAGCAAAGGGAGATAATATCGCATTGCATCGCTACAAGTGTAAATAATTTCACAGTGAAATTCCTCATAATTTCTTTTGTTTGCCTCGGGGTTCTTAATAAGATCCAGAGACGGATATGCAATGTAATTGGCCCTGATCTGGCATCTCGTCTGCAGTCGCTCTCTCACAGACGGGCTGTCGCCTCTCTCTGTCTTTTTTACAAATACTGTCATGGTAATTGCTCCGGTGAGCTGCATTCGCTGGTTCCCAGACTTCATGAATTCAAGCGCCCTACGAGGCTGGCACCCCGCTCTCACCCTTTCACTGTTGAAACTGTTAAATTTAGCCGTCTCTTCTACTCCAATAGCTTCATATCTCGCACCACTTGCTTTTGGAACTCCCTTTCTTTATTCCTGTTTTCCTGAGAGCTATAATCTCCAACTATTCAAATGTAATGTCAATCGACATCTCCAGTTGCCTTGATCTATACACTGTCCTTCTCATCCTTTCCTCTATCACTCCTATCTGCTCTCGCTCCAAATCCTCTGCAACCCCTTGCGTGCTAGTGGCTTCCAGCCTTGCTTGGGGTGAAATGCTTAAAAAAAAATTCTCTCTTGGTTTTCAATTCAAATTTCTCGGAAGTCTTAACCGAGAGAAATAAAAAATAAGAAAGAAAAAAGTAGACATATACAGAGACGTTGCATTGTACTTATAAATTATCATTCTCGTAATACCAGATTATCCGTTTTGCGAATCAAAGGAAGTTATGTGATTTCTTCTTTATATGTCGTGTCCCTTCAGGATGTAGGCGATCATAGCCCTTCACATCTTCTCATACCCTGTAGCTCTTAATAAATTTTGTCATTTTGATATTTCACCTAAACCCATTACTACCATCCATTTACTACACAGTGTTGATAGCAGACACAGAAAGGAAACTACTAAACTCTTAAAGGTAGAGAAGAAAAGCGAAAAAGAAAGTACTAAGTATAATTTACAAGAAAAATACATGGCTGTTATCAAAAAAACATGAGCCCAAAATGCAAATTGCAAATCGGTAAAAATCATGTAGTCGGGTTATCAGGTAAGATAGCTAATCAGTGCAGATACCATAAAAATATTCGTAGAAAAGACAGAGAGAAGCCACATCACGTCTATGTGAAAATGAGTGAAGTCGAGATGTCAGGTCAGGACCGATTACATTGCAGATCCTTCTTTAGATTTTGTCGAGAACTTCGAGATGAACAGCAAGGGCACCAGACTAGATATGGCAACAATATTCAATGCATGGACGAATGGTAGATTTTTAAGATGGACTATGGTTTTCACTGATCACCGGAATGATATTGCAACACTACGATATTAAACTGAGATTTAATTCTTAAACTCGTTTCCTCAAAAAGAAGATATTAAAATCAATCAGGTACAGGAATTTAAATACCAGAAGATGGAAAGTGCGACACTGAGATCCGAAGACATATTCGGATGGACAAAAATGAATTCCGCAAAGATATCGGAGTATTAAGAGACAGAAAAAAAAATCTGTTTTCTTATATGGCAATAATTACTGGACAATCTCCTCAAAGATGAAGAAGAGACTTGAAGCAACGGAAGGTTATGTCATAGCAATCTATAAATACACATCTGGGACAGTAATTGTGAATCTGTTGTACTTCTACATCCACATCGACAGCTGTGAACATCTTTTAAACGATTCATAAATGAAAATTAGAAGGGAATAAAATGATTGAAATAATATAGCAGTGGCGTGAAAATTTATCAGGATTAAAAGAAGTCCTGAACTATCAGTTACTAGAAAGTCGGTAGTGTACCGGCATTATATGCACAGACACATCATCACATCTCACACACACACACACACACACACACACACATATATATATATATATATATATATATATATATATATAATTTCTCTGATTTAACCAGTAGAGAAGACAATATTTATGAATAAAAATGACAATAGGAAAACTGGTAATTGCTGACGTGTTTCGTCCAATGTGGACTTTATCAAAGCAAAAAATACGAAAATGAAATTAAATGAACAAAGTAACTAATAAAAAACAAAACAGAATGTACCTAGCAACTGGAATGTAGAGAAACGCTATTTTCATATTTTTTTTTTGAAAAAATAACGTCAGTGATTGTCACGTGTAGAGAATATTGTCATTATATCTGTGTTGATGTATTCAACCATTTTCTTTTGATTTTATGAATCTGTTGTGCATATTTGTTTGTAAGAGCAGTAATTTTGTTAAGAAAGGTGAAATGGGAAAAAAACCTGGGCGTAGATTAATATTTGGGTAATTTTCTATGGCGGCACTCTCCAGAATTTTCCTTCTGAGTGAGTTATTTTCTTTTTTTAGGAGTGTAGCATTTTTAAAATCAAAATTATGGTTGAATTTATTTCTATGTATGACTAGTGCATTAGCTAATAAAAAATGCTACAAAATTACAAAAGTAAACAATAAATTAACAAACAACACTGTACAATTGCTACAATTAAACGCATTCAGGTCCACAATTATTTGCCGCTAGAATAGTTTCAAGTATAAATGTTAACGCCGACTCAATAACTGTTACGATAATAAAATAGAACTTGCTACCTATAATGCACCATTGACTTGCATATGTAAATAGTTGAGGCAATACATGGCACACACGGGCTGAAGATTGCGTTCAAGAGTGAAACAGATTATCGCCGCTCAGTTTTGTCCTCAGCGTCCACTTTTGTATTTACATAGTTCTGTCTCTGATATTTAGCACTCTTACCCATAAATATATACCTTTGTTATACTGGAATATACCTATTCTATTATTAATAGACTCTCCCATCTTTAATAAGTAGTAGTAGTAGCAGTCACGGAGTCGCTCAGTGAGTTGGTCAGTCAGTCGATGTCGGACATTAAAGTATCAGCCACCACAACTAGATTGCTACGTCATTAACTATTATATCAAGTTCCTAACGTTTTATACGTCGTACCTTTTTAGGACCGACTTAGTGAAATACAAGCCTCCACTGTGAAACTACTCTATAACAACCTTAAAAACTGTATTTTTTATCATATATATATATATATATGAAGAAAAATATATACGGAAAAAAAACAAACAAAAATCCTTATATACAATTATGCTGTTTTAATGTTAATATGTCAACGTCGGATCTATATCCATATATTTGCTTATATATATATATATATATATATATATATATATATATATATATATATATAGTAAGTAATGAATATTTTTTAATAATCTGACAAATTTTATAACGTAAACGTTATTTTTAGTCGATACCCATATTTGAATAGACGCTCCGTTTATTTATTTGTCAGTATATTTGGAGCGCATATATAATGTAGTTTATTGTCATACTCAGAAATACATACATATATACATACATACATATATATATATATATATATATATATATATATATATATATATATATATATATATTAGACACACCAATTCGTTCACTAGCTCAGTCACTAAATCTACTTTCAAAATCTACCACGATTCTAACTGTCATAACATAATTTACCTCTTAGAATGCACACTATGCCATAAACAATATTGGGGAAAATCTGAAAGGTCTTTTCACTACAGTAATAGTTCACTAGAACAACATTTCCGCCTAGAAAAATATGATTTCAAAATCCATGTCAAATTCACTATAATTGAAAAAATGGAAAAGTACAGAAAAGATTAGATTAGAAACATTTTAGAGGACCATGAAGGCAAATGGGTTTTGCTCCTAAAAACACTCCATCCAGACGGGCTTAATCACAAATTTAACAACATAGATAGAATTAATATATAACCCTATAAATCAAGGCCTACCCACATTTCTCACCCACATAAGACAGCTGCTTGCGGAGGTCACGCACTTATACACGCACTCATACTAATATATACACTTTTACACATCATGCACACTCCCGAA